CAACCAGCCCAGTTCAGCTCGTCGCCACCTGCTCCCTCCTCCTTTGATGGCGAAGCCAGGTTACTGAGGCAATGCAGCGCCCTCTAGCCAACCTAGGGCCGTGTACATAGTTCCCGTCCACCTTCTGACGGTGTCTGCCTCCGCGCACAAAAAATGAGATGGGCATCGCTGCCTACGCCGACGGCCAGAGGCCCGCGCATCTACATTTTTTCGCCTGACCCCATCAGTGCCGACCCAACTACACCACCACGCGCATGCCTCGCGGCGGATATGCGCAGCAGCAAGAAGGTTTCGGTCATCCCTTGAGGATGAGTCTAGCCCTGCTCGCCAGAAAGACCCCCCCCTTCACTACAACCCATGTCTAAGCAAAAGCTTGTCGAGGAGCGAGGGGAAGAAGGGAGAGTAGGTTGAGAGGTGCGACACACAAAACGCCCGACTACCCAACAGTACCCAACACCGTTCGTCTGCACCTTCCCAACATAACATATATGAGACACACAAGACAGCTACCAAACTGATTTGTTGAGTCTGTTACCCACAGGGGAGATGTCCCTATATGCTGTCTGGGAAATCGTAGACACGCAGGTAGTTTTCTCTGACGCTATGATTCCATTATTAATCTGTCTCTGACTCTTTTCTATGATAGAGATGGACTCGTTGTGTCATATTCAGAAAAATGAAAAAAATAGGGATATGCTGACCAAGTGCTACCTGCTGTCATATGCATATTTTCCACCTCACTTGTGCCGTGACTGAAAACAATACCCTGCGTGTGTGTCCGTTGGTCGCTTATGGGAGAAGGCGGGACAACCACCCAAGCCATCTATCTCTACATGGCCGCCTGTCAGTGATCACGATATCTTCCATCTGGGTACGCCAGCACGACATGCCCAACCATGCCCAGGTGCGGCCCACACGTATATATGTAGGTTGCGTTGCGTTTGTTTATGTGGCTAGTAACGTGGTCGAGGAGAGCGTGCGAAAATATCACTCTGGCTGTGTCTGAACTTAGGTTTTCATGGCCGACAGGCAGGAATTACATGTACGCACAATGATACGTGCACACACTCATGTGTGTACGCGACCATGGTGGTGGTCGCTTCCACACTTACTTCCACAATCATATGCAAGGTGTCAGCTACAAGCCAACGCTGTAGATCATTATCCAGAGATATGTGGCTCCGAGTTATAGTTAGATTTATTCTGCAGCTGCATGGTATGATCCTCTGGAGGCAACTTTCCGCCAATTCTGAATCGCACCTGCCGAACGAATACAACCAATGCAAAGCTCTCCTGGCCATGTCACTAAAAGACCGGACGGGATATGCTCACAACATCGATAATAATCTGTCAGAAGCATTGTGATAAACAACCCGGTGTTCGAATAGGGCCAAGACCGTCCATGACAAGCGCGAGACGCACAAGCCGGCGCCCGTGGTGCTACCAACGAGGACCATGACCAAGGTTAACGATCGAATGCGCCTCATTCGACAAGGAGACAACCGGGAACTGGCTGTTTTCGAGGCTGCCGTAAAGAAGGTGTGTGTGGTTCGTGGATCATCTTCTTAGAGACGTGTCTACAACAAAGGGCTGTACTGGTGCAGGTGCCAGTGCAGCATATCCCATGCACGTACAACGCAATACCTTCGCATATAAGAGCCATGGTTCCCAGCAAGAATATAATAGTAGTCTACTTCGTATTTTTTACCTCTGAATGATTTTTTTCCAGCCGCAGGTTCCCCTACAACTACCTTGTTACGACTCCATCCCAGTTGCTTACCTTAAGACAAAAAATATATATTTTCCTTGAACAAAAAGTTTTAAAAGTTTATTCCAAAATCTTCTGGCCAAGTCAACTCCCAGGACGTGTCGGGCGGATATTTCAATTAGTCTAGGTTAAATAAAAAAATTTTTCCTTAATGTCTGCTAATTATGGTACATTACAAAATTTTGCTACTAGTGAAAGAAGTTACCGGTTTCCAGACTCTTATAAAGGATCTGGGGTTCTTTATACAGATGAAAACATAGCTTAAAAAGCAAGTAAAAAATAAATAAATAAAATGCATTCGCGTCTTTTTTCTCTTTTTTTTGGCTCTTCTGGTTATTTAGTTCCTTTTCCACGGAATGAGTATTCTCCGATTTCAAAAACTCTGCACCCTTTTCTTTTAGGTAAAAGAAATAAAAGTATTTNTTTCCTTAATGTCTGCTAATTATGGTACATTACAAAATTTTGCTACTAGTGAAAGAAGTTACCGGTTTCCAGACTCTTATAAAGGATCTGGGGTTCTTTATACAGATGAAAACATAGCTTAAAAAGCAAGTAAAAAATAAATAAATAAAATGCATTCGCGTCTTTTTTCTCTTTTTTTTGGCTCTTCTGGTTATTTAGTTCCTTTTCCACGGAATGAGTATTCTCCGATTTCAAAAACTCTGCACCCTTTTCTTTTAGGTAAAAGAAATAAAAGTATTTACTATTTTTATGATCTTGAAAAAAGTTTATATGGTATTCGTGCAACGATGCAAGTCTAGGAAAAGTCCTTTTTAGTGGTAATGAAGTTTCAATGTAATCCAGTTTTGGGCAAGAAAATAGTGTATATTTCATAAAATGGAAAAGAGGTTCTATCGCAAAATCAAAAGACGCAGGTTTAGTGCTTTTAACAAGTGTAGAAAAAGAATATTTAGTCGAGGCTCATAGAAAATGTTTTTTGCTTGTGGGTGTTGGAAGTTATACTATGAGACGGATACCATCGTGCCCGCTTGTTTCTGTACAGTAGTGTAGATACATTGCCTTGGTATTGTCACCGGCTCATCCCCCCTGCTTCAATGGAGAATGGACCAAAACCAGATACGTTGTTGTTGTTGTTGTTGTTGTTGTTTCTCACATTAGCTCTAAAAAAAAAAAGATTGGGAGCCCGTGGTCTCAAAACCCGGCATACACGACCCCACGAAGAAACAGAAAAAAATAGGGTACAAAAAC